TCGGGCGTACGTTCCACACACACACACACACACTTTTCGCCCCGCGGCCATCGTGAAAGCCGTGACAGCGATCATTTCATCTTACCACCCGACCCTTGGCGCCTCTCTGCAGATCGGTGCCTGTGCGCGTAGTGGAAGACAATGAAAACATCATCTTTGGGCTGACCGATCGCGGTGGCCACCTGGCCTGGTTGGAAGGCTGGGACTTCTGGGAAGAGGTACGCCACCGCACACGACACTCATCAGCACACGACACACACTCATCAACGACACGACACGACCAATGTAATTGGAAATTGTTGTGCGTTCAGGCGTGGATGGATCGGGCGGTGGTACAGTTCAGCAAGGCGCTGTGGAGCCAGATGCCCAAGCGGCGACTGCAGAAGATCCACACGATCACGGACCCAACGACGAGCCCACTTCGGCACGCATGACAGTCGTCAGCCAACTCCTACACTTCTAGAAGTCCCGTTATTTCCTGTATTTATTTGATCACACTACCAAGGTCTCTTCTCTTTCATGTCGTTGTTCTAAATTGTGTCTGTTCGCTCTGCTGTTGGGACGAACACATTGGTGATGGCCCATGTCCACTGAAAAAGAAACAAAAAGCTGGTGGTTGCGTCATGGGTTAGTATGGCACAGGGTGATGTGGGCGGCCTCGCCACAGGGCTCAAGACCCACTTCAGGTCCTGAGCCCCTGCATGCGGGAGGCCACCACACAACGCCCCGCGTCATAGATCATTAACGGCAGTTGAGGTATCGAAGTAACCCATCGACAAATGCACCAAGCTCACACCACAACCCTGGAGCCTTGCCTGGTTGAGGCCTGCCACACCCACCCGCTGCCTCGATTGTGGGACCATCGGCGTGTGCTCTTCGCTTTCGTTCTTTATTCTATTTTTCAACTTTTCGTTCTATCTTTTTCCCTGGCTGGTGAGGTGGTTCAGCCAAAAGGCACAGAGCGTCCCACAATGGATGAAGAAGGTCAAGAGTTGATGTAGCACCGTGGCAGACAGTAACAGGCATTACCAACCGTAGCATAACTGTCTCCGGTTCATAGTCTACATCACTTAAAGTGGTGGCCTGCTCGTCCCTCTATTCCGAGGGGCTGAGCGGTTCCCAACCAATCCAACAACAAGTTTCATCTTCATCATGAACTGCAACATAACGTATGAGCCTTGTACCCGCAAGGCCCTTCACTTTTTTCGGGGATTTCTTCTTCGACTAACTTAGAATGGCGGCCCCAAACAGAAAAGAAAGATGGAAGCAACACCTACGGCAGCACCAGCCACCTACAGCTATCGACAGAGGCGACAAGAAGCGGTGGCAGCCTCGGGGCATCGCCTGCTCCACCCCTCGCTCGCCCACCTCCGTCCAGTAGTACCCCCCCCCCCAAGCTGCACGTTGGTCATGAGGCTGACGTTGGTCCCTTCGTCCCCTTCGGCCATAGGAGCACCTGGTNCCGGGGGCTGCGGCGGCTGGTCGCGGGTGATGGTACGCCCCAGGAGGGGAGGGACGGTGGTGCTGCTCTCGCGGAGGACCACTGGACAGAGGGCGCAGAGCTGCTCCACCAGTGGCGCGACCTGCACCGTCTGCGTCTGTTCAGCGACGCCTTCTCGCGGTGCGTGCGGCCCATGACACGACACGACACGACACGACACGCACGCAAGCACACCACGACTGTGGCGGTGGTCTGACGACATGTCGTCTCCAGCCAGCTGATCGAGGAGGTGGAGCACTACCTGAACTCGCCGGCGCCGAAGACCAGCGAGATCGTGCTCGAGGTCCGTCGCCGCAGAGTAGTTATCAGCAGACCAAGTGCCGCACCAACTGACCCGATTCCTCATCAGGAGATTGGAATGCAGGAATGCATGCGGGGCCTCGTGGACCGGGTGCTGGGTCCGTTGGTGGCTCGGCTCTATCCCGACGTGGCC